ATTTTCAAAGTATTTATAAACAACTTTTTTTAAAAAAAAATTCTACAACAGCTATCTTCTTTAGTTTCTTCTTTTATGACACAAGATAACGGGATCATCCCCCCCATATTCAGAAATACTCATACATCTATTGATTTTAGGGAATATTTAAAAGTTTTTGCAATAATGTTTACAAAAAAAGCTACAAAAGTTATGCCATTGAATGTCTCTCATATTAACCAATAGAACTTCCATTTGGGGATTTCTTCCCAGCCCAGTACAGAGATTTACTTACTAGAAGTATCAGTCAGTCCTCCTCTTTGCAGATTCAACAGTTAATTGGAACTCTGGCTGGCTGCTGGTATGGACGGGAAAAATTTCTCCTTTTACCTGTGTTTTCTCAGTCTCTTTTCCAGTGAACTCTGCTTTCTCCCTGCTACTTCCCTCTTCTAATGGTGAGTGGCCATTAATTTAAAGAGGAATGGCAGGCTTTTGGGTTTGCTTTCCTTCCTTCCACCGAAAATGAAACTGATTTTGGGAGGCTTCCAAGATTTACAAAATTCAAATGAAAAAGTATCTGTGTGTCAGGGATATCATGGCATAAAGTACAAATTTGATACAACTTATGATTTACAGTTAGTCGACTTACAACTTATGACTAACAAAAAAATTGCACACCCCTAATAAACATGCTTCTCCTTGTTTAGTAACATGTTCTGTTTTGACATCCTAATACTGATAATCTTTCTCCAGAATTTCTCAAAAATGCAAATATTGGTTGGAAATCTTGCTCAATTATTTTTTCTTTAACTAAAGTGGTAAATTTGTCAGTTTTTGCCGAGTCATAAAATTTTAACAACCCATCTCCTATTACAGAATTGTTATCTTTATACTTCTCTGCATAAATTTGGCAGCTCTTATAATATATTGAAAGATTATCCCATATTTTCTGTCATATTGATTGTCTATCAAGAGGAATCTATATGTGAGAAAACATTATTTCTTTATTACACTTCCAGCAAGAGTTAATGGAACCTTTGTACAATTAGACAGTCATTCTGGCATCAAATTCAATCATCTTATAGAAATTCTAAGAGCATAACTCAAAATATACTTTACCCTTTTGGACTACATTTTTCTCCTTGCTCCATTTGGATATTATATTGCATACTTTGAGATAATTTAACCATATAGTCCTTTACAAGTTCATTCTCCATTTTCATTCTCAACAGCAGTTTATACATTTTAGCAATTAAATGCTCATCTGTACACGGTTGAATTTCAAACTCTAATTTAGTTACTTCAAAGCCATACAATTTCTTATCCAATGAGTTGTCTATATGAATACTAATGTAAAGTGTACACTTCCATTTCTAACCCTTCATTCATTTTCTTTTATACTACCCCCTCCTTCTGACATCAGGACATTGTATATGTTATCCACTTTTCAAAATCTTAATTTCTCTTCTGAATTTCTCATGTGGTGATATTTATTAGGTCCATTTTGGAAAATATTATTTGATATCTATTCTATATCTTTAAAATAATTATTAAAATCAGAATTTACATTAGGTTTATGAATTCTGTTTCTATGGGTTGTATGACTTTCTTCTTGGATTGTGGGTGGGTTACAATAAATTAAACCCTTCCTGTAGACTCCCACTCTTGGGGAGGCCATGGATGCTATTTTGACTCTTTTGGTGCTATTTCTTAGTCAGAAAAATATTCGAAAGAGAGTGTGGAGGTTGGGGAAGGAGTAATTGGAGGGCTTCAAGATCCCAAAGTTAAGGTGGCACCCACATAAGGCTGCAAGATGGACTTTCCTGATCTTCTGCCTCAGAAATCTGAGTGATCCACTGAAGACAGCAAATGTCTAATAAGTAAATGGCAAAAGGTTTTCAAATATTGAACTTAGAAACAAGTGCTCTCCTGTACATTCATTTCTGAACTGGGGAATGTAGTATAGACATGTGGGGAGGTGAGTTCTGAAAATTCTGTTGCCCACAAAGCTGGAATTCTGGTAGCTCTAATCCAAAAGGTGCTACTGTCACGATATGCTAAATAACAAAGGAAAAATATTAATTTCCTGTGTATGCCTTCGCATATAAATCTACGTCACACATAGAAAGGGAAGCCTGCAGCTGGTCCAGAACACAGTCATGCAATTCATTAACCCTCCTGCTCTGGGGCTGATTTGCACATATATAGGAAATTTGCAGAAGCATTATGCATGGACATGAACTCTCCTGTATGATCTAAATGATGCCCATTTTAGCTCTAGGAGACTGCATTGCCATAGGGTATGATGGTGGTCACTGGCTGGACTTCTTGAGCCAAGGAAGGGGCACACAAATACATTACGGTACACAGGCAAATCTTTACTATTCCCAGATTTAGGGACTGAATCCTCCTTGCAAAGGCAAGGCTATTTAAAACAAATGCCACCTGCAAAGGAGCCAAGAAGTGTGAAAAGATTATAAATTCTGACATATTCTCCTTTAGGGTGTTCCTCCCCCCCCCCCCCCCCAGATCTTTGCCACTGTTCTTATCTTGTAATTCTCAAATAGAGAATCCAGGAATACTATGTTCTGGTTTGAACCATTGTTAGTTTCCACCCTAACCTTGGAAGGGAAATCTCTTCACCCTTGAACTCAACCCTACTATCTTGCTGACAGGCATGATAGTCCTATCTAATCATTGTGTAAGCTTTGCTGTGAGATTAACTAATTGAATACCTCTGTTTTACATTAGAAGGTAAATTCTCCTTAAATTTGTTCTTTTGATCATGCGTTGGATGAAGTAACCCAATCTCAAAAACTATTAGAATGGGTTTTTTTTTTCAATTAGGCAATGAAATTCTGGCATGGATTGAAAAATACTTTAACATTATTCATTAATTACGTATACACACATACACACACATGTAACGATATATAATGGTCAATGACCATACTTTATTTTAAATCTTCAATTTACACTTTTTTGAAATAATTGCCACTCCTGCACTGGCATTTTTAGAAACATCTTAATTTACTAAAGTATAAGATAACTTTTTAAAAACTGTGCGAAGTGACTCTCTCCATTCCAAAAGGGAAACTAAATAGCAAAAGGACAAATTCTCAGCTTGTTGGGAATTGAACTTTGAATGCATTCAAAGCCTTTGTTATTTGTGACTTCAAGTTGTGTCTGACTTATGGGGATTGTAAGGAAAACATATCATGGGGTTTTCTGAGGCTGAGAGTCCAAGGTCACAAAGTTAACCTCTTCCAAAGCCCCGTGGGCATTAAGATGGCAGCAGGTTTCTCTTCTCCAGACTAGAAAGCTAAGTAGTCACGTATGTAAACCTCTCCGATGAACTTCACTTTGTTGGGTGAAATATGATAAAAAAACAATTTCTTCAGACATTGGAGCAGAGCTAGTGAGATTAGAGAGTAATGGGATAGAAATCCTCTTCCCCTCCCCGGTTACCTCAAAGAGTCACTGCATTTTAGGTGCAGCCCACTGAGACTAAAAAGGTTAACACCTCTGGGCTAGGCTGATGAATTTACAATCAGCTTAGGGAAAAGATATGTGATCTATTCTCTTTACTTAGGAAATGAATTTAAATATTGCACTGGAAAGGCTTTTTTTTTCATGTCCAAAGCGACTTGAGAAACTGCAAGTCATTTCTGGTGTGAGAGAATTGGCCTATTGCAAGGGCATTACTCAGGGGATGCCCAGATGGTTTGCCATCCTGTGGGAAGCTTCTCTCATGTCCCCGCATGCAAAGCTGGAGCTGACAGATGAGAGCTCACCCCGCTCCCCAGATTCAAACCACCGACATTTTAGTCAGCAGTCCTTCCGGCACAAGGGTTTAACACGTTGCACCATGGGAGGCTCCAGGAAAGACTTTAAAAATGGTTAAAGTAGCTTAGTCCTTGGATCTTTGAGCAGATTTCTCCAAGTTATGAGTGAAAAAAGAGAAAAATAAAGTTTAAATATTGCTTATATCATAGCACTTAGTTGTATTGTGATCTCAGGGTTTATCTTTGGGCCCAGAATTCTTAAGCAGATTCAGAATGGGCTTGACACCATGATTGTCACAAAGTACATGTTCAGGTGATGGAAGACCAAATATTTCTGCTGCTCTTATGGATTTTTTTGTGCCCCATTCAGAATGTACAATCTAAATTGTACATTCCAGATTAATACAAGATTAGAGAGAATGGCAGCTAAACTGGCTTCTGTGTTTGTATTTATGGCTATACTGTAGCCCGCTGAGGCCTTTGAGACTTACATAGTTTCTTTTTCCTTGCCACAATCCCATCGCTTTGTCTGGATAACTTATGAGTAGTACTAAACTCACAGAGATTAGCAGTGTTTACAGTGGACGCTGCAGAAAGTGTTTCAGCTGTACTCCACAAAAGCAAAATCAGCCTGTTTAGCAACTCAGAAAGGCGCGGGGGGCGAGCAAAAAGGCTGTGCTCATGGCAAGGCTGTGAGCGCAGCCCTCCCCTCGCCCCTCTTGCACTTCCAAACTCAGAAAGGTGCGGGGGGGGCAGGCAGCCCTCCCTTGCCCAAATGGCAAGGATCGGCAGCCATTTTGGTGGGGGCAGGGCCAACCAAGGCAGTTTCGCAACCCCCCGAAAATGGCCCAATGACCCCCCTGGGGGTCGCGACCCCCAGGTTGAGAACCGCTGCTCTAGAAGCTAACATCTTGGGCATTTTTTCCTCCTCAGATCCTTAAATATGCTTATTTATTTAGAAACTTATGTTCTGTGCATGGTGTATATGTGGAATGTGCCAAAACAGATATTTCGTTTATCAGAGAATTGTCCTGGTGTATGTCAGTCAAAGATAAATCTATTCTCTCAAATTAAAAAAAGTCTTATGTGTTTTTGTGCAAATTCTGTATAATTCTATGCATTATAAATTACTTTTTGGATTATAAATCCCTTGAAAGTTATGCATCTAAATATAAATAGGCATGCACCCCTTTCTGAGTATTCATGTGGAACCTTTCTACACCTCTATACCAACAGGAAGAACAGCGTGTAATTTATGTTGGCAAAATTGGGCCTGACACAACCCGAGCAGAACTAAGGGACCGGTTTGAAGTTTTTGGTGAAATTGAGGAGTGCTCTGTGAATCTACAGGACAATGGGTAAAACAATGACTTTAGATTATTCTTTGTTAAAATATTTTTACTTATTGTAGAAGGAAGGAATAGCAATCTTGTTGTTGATGGTTGACATGTTCTCATTCTTATTTACAAGTGTGTGTTTTATTTTCACTTACAGAGATAACTATGGTTTCATCACCTACCGCTACACTTGTGATGCTTTTGCTGCTCTGGAAAATGGATACACTCTGCGCAGATCCAATGAGCCTGACTTTGAGCTGTATTTTTGTGGACAAAGGCAATTTTACAAGTCTAACTATGCAGACCTAGGTATGATACTTAGCACTTGTATAAGTGCAGCACTCACAGTTTGGGTGTATCTTGAGAGTTTTTTAACTTTGATGATCAAGAAAAAAAGAAAGATAAACAACATTTATTCTAAAATTGGTTGTGACTGTTTCAGATTTATTTTCTAAACAGGATCTAAGAATTAATGGTTACTTGGAAGATCACAATTACAATGTGGATGAAGTGAAACGGGGGACTTGTTTATTTATTTCTTTATTATTTCATGCATTTCTGCCATGCCCTTCTCAGGGCAGCCTCACACAGGCATCATATGATGCTAAAAGCATATAAACAATCAAAAGTTACATTTAAACTTTAAAAATAATTAAAAACACATTATACAATTCATTAATCAATAAATTAAGCATGCCAATTAAAACCAAATCCAAATCAGGGTGAAGTTGCAAACTGTTAGAAAGTTGCAAAATTGTTTCACCAGTATTACAGTTTGCAACTCAACTGTGTCTCTAGAATTACTACAGAATAGCTGAAAATGTATTGCGCAATGGTGCAATCATAAAAGAAGTTATGCAAATAAGTTTCTCACATGAATTTATTATTGGTAGACATCTTATGAACATTAGTTTTCTGAACATCTTCAAATGGCTGTTACCACAACAAGCAGATAGGGCTTTCCTAACAATATCTTTTGAGATGTCTTCATTCCTCATTCTAATGAAGACATTGATTTTAATTGGTTGACCTCTTCTGATGTCTATTTAGTTTAACCCTTGGTTTGGTTGTTTATAAGTTACATTGAGTTTATTTTATTCTATGTTTTGCCTTGAATGCTGTTTATTTGTTCTATGGCAGTGAATGTTTGCCATTTTGGTCTTGTAGCTATGTATGGCAGTTTTTAGTAAATTAATGGCTGCAGTCATTAAGATTTCTGCATAATAGCATCCTTCTTTATTTCTGAGGTTTTTTTATGCCCTGCCCTTTTCTTTGTGCTAGGCAGGAAGTGAATACAAAACTGTATTTTTCCTAACCAATTGATGTCTTCCCAGAGTCTAAATGATAAAGGCAATATGCATTGTTCAAAGTGAATATGCTATAATTCACTTCACTGACTAAATAGATAGCGTAAAGCTGAGGAGAGGCAGCTGACTGCTGCAGAGATAGAGGCCCAGTGATGAAAATATAAAAGATGGCAAATCATTTGTTCAAACACCAACTGATAAAACCAGCAAAGATGGATTGAAGTCTTGACTTGATTTGACTTATCTTCTACATTGATGAAGTCAGGGGCGTTGGTAGTATCTCAAAAATATCTGGGGTATAAAATAAGCTGCCTGAAAGAGACCTTCTTGAACATTATTCATCACTGAGAGTGGTTTCCTGAAGGGCTTTCCATGTGTTCATGTCTCCGCAAACCATTTTCTCTGTAGAGTATTGTTATGTTCTTCTGTGCATTTATACTAGAAATGCCTGTGCCTTTACTTAATGTGTATTGATTTAAGGGTAAGGTCATTAGTTGAGGTTGCTGTTTGGCAGAGATAGCAGCAAACTAAACAGAGAAGAAAGGGCTAATTTGTGGCTGAGTGGTATCATGTCACAAATCAACAGAAAAATAAGTGGCATTAATAAAATAATTGCTATTAAATAATTAAACACAGTCAAAAAACTTCAAAATAGAGAATGTGTTTTATGTAGCTTAAAAAAATCTTGTTCAAAATAACTGGTTGGCTTCCTGGATAAATGAGATTTGCTAGGAGCACTAAGAAGTGTCAGCTAGAAGATATTGCTGCATATTCCATACTTAATAACATTGTGGTGAAGGGAATCATGTATTTAGTTAAACATCCATATCCCACCCCATTAGGTTATTATAGTGGCACAGAGCCCTGTGTAGGTAGCCTGGCTGAGATGTAAGAAGCTCTCAGAGACACCCTTTGTAATTCCCTGCAGTTCTATAGGAGTGCCATTCCTCTTGATATCCTTTAAAGATTAAGGGTGGTATGTTAACTCCTTTTTTACTCCCCTTTTAGTTAGTACAATTATATTGGATAAGAAAGAGCCAGACCATTAGTCCTTGCCACATGACCGTAATTCTCTACAGTTATGAAGTGATGTGGAAGGAACCATAGTTTACACCTTGGCAAAGTATTTTAAAACCTGGTTAAGTCTCACATCACTAAATTCATTCACTATATAGTGTCGGTCAGTGGTTCCCAACCAGTGGTCCACAAGAGATAAAAAAGTGATCCAGGGGGTGTATTCCACAGAAAACCTGAGTTGACACAGTGTGTCTGTTAAGGAAGGGCCCCGTAGGCATAATCCCCACCACACACACCTTCCCATCCTCCTCCATCTGAAAAAGAACCCAACAAGTGCCTGTTAACATTCAGGCTCTGAGTGATCCTTTCCCACTGGCCCAGCCAAAAGGAGAAGAGAATGTCCATGTGCCTCTTTCCCTTCCCTTGTTTCCTCATGAGAGCTATACCTGGCCCCACTTTCACTGACCTGCAAGCTTCAGCTGCCTCCTCATCCTTGCATTTCAGCTGCAAACAGGGTTTTCTTCCTTGTCTCAAGAATAGGTAAGGAATGAAGGATACAATCCGCCCTCCCTCTAACCAATGTCACGTCCTTCCTTGGTCTTGAGGAGGCTGCTGCTGCCAGAGCCTCATTTGCAATCTTTTCCTTGCAGCCCAGCTCCCGCTGCCTGGGCCTGCAAATGGAGCTCTGGCAACAGCAACTTCAAGACCTGGCAAGGAATGAAGAACCGAATGCATCCCTTCCTACCCACCCCCTTTGCCCAGCACTGGACTCTTCGCTTCCTTACCAGTTCTCGAGAAGGCTGCTACCAGAGCCCCATTTGCAGTCTCCTCCTTACAACCTAGCCCCCTGCCGCCTGGGTCTCTGAGAAAAGCAGCAAGAATGGCAGTGTTGGATCCTTCCTTCCTTGCCTTGCTGCTGCTGCTGCCGCCAGAGCCCCATTTTCAGGTCCAGGCTGCAGGGAGCTGGATGTAAGGAGGAAATTGCAAACAGGGCTCTGATAGCAGCCTCCTCAATAGTGGATAAGGAAAAGGAAGGGTCCAACAGTGGGCAAAGGGAAGGAACAGGAATGGTTGGATCTTTCATTCTTTACTTGCTTTTGAGGAAAGGAAGGGTTCACAGGCAGGATTGCAAGGAGGAGGAGTCAGCCGAAGTCAGTAAGTCAATAAAGGCGGAGTCCAAGAGAAGCACCATCAGGAAAGGGAAGGAAGCACATGAGTGCTCTCTCCCTTTGGCTGGGCCAGTGAAAGAGGAGCCCTTGAAGCCCATGTACTAACAGGAGCCTGGGCTCCTTTTGATACTCGAGCTTCAAGAGTTAGTCTAAGAGTCTACTACTTATCAAGAGCCAGTCTACTATTACTCAAATGTCCAACACATACGTGGCATTGAGCAATAGTATCAAGAAATGAAAGAAATGCAAACTCAAAAACCACATTTTTTCGTTAAGTCTCATTATGGTGTTTTGTCTTTATAGTGCAAATAAAATGTATATTGAAATATTAGTATGATGATTAATAAATTCTAATGATATTTAAAACAATTTTATTTCTTTGAATGTGAGTGATGGGGAGATTGGTAGGGATGGTCCAAAATGTATGAGTTTTTTGCCTCAGTGGTAAGTGGCTCTTAAAGAATGGAAAACACTGTTGTAGATGAATAATTAGTATGTCATAGTAGTTAGGTTATTCTTTTTATATAAAACTGTCTAGTGTTGACATTCTTCAATGCCACCTGGAAATCATAGAAGGTTAGAAAGGAGAATTTTCTCTCCCAAAACGCAGACTATTCATAAGTCAGTTCATTACTTTAGACTGCTTAATCATACGTATCTGGAGAGAGAAATATATATATCATTTTCTTCCTACATCATTATCAGATTTTGAATTAAAGCCAATAAACCTACTGAAATTAACCTATACAATCATCAGTGCATGACATAACCTCACTTTAAATAATCTTCATTCATTTTCCAAACCAGTTGCATGTGAATCAGCCAACACAAGAACTCTGTAAATGTAATTAAGTATGTATTTTTCCTTCCAGATTCAAACTCAGACGATTTTGATCCTGCTTCTACTAAGAGCAAGTATGACTCCATGGATTTCGACAGTTTACTTAAAGAGGCACAGCGAAGCTTGCGGAGGTAATATGCATCATGGCCAAGGAAAACAGAGGGATGGTGAATACCTCATGGACGTCATGTCCTTCAATAATAGACAGTGAAGAAGTCATGCTTACAAATTTCTCCTACTCTACACTCTCCGTATAAAAACATGGTTTACATGGACACAGCTGCTTGAGAAATGAAGAGGCAAAATGGAACTGGTGTAAGCATGTGTGTGCCTCTGGGTTTGAGCTCTACTTTCCCAGGGTGATGAGGGTGTGGGATTTGATCTTTGTAGAGAGTATCAAGTGGGAGCCGCATGAAATGGCAGCAGTTCCATAGAGATACATTAAAACAATGAGAACTTAAACATAAAAGTGTACATATGACATTTTCAAAATAAGGCAAATTCAGACTTTAGCTGCTGACATCTGAGACATCCTGTGGAATTTTTTTGGAGGGGGGATGCGTTACTTTCTTTGCTTTTTTAAAACAAACTTCTTCACATACAATGTTGTTTTAATATGATGACAATCCTGAAGAGAACTACAAACCCTGCAACACCCACCATCTCTTTTTCCATGAAGGCAAGAAAAACTTGGAAGGATTTGAAACTTCCATAACATTTAAAAGTTTTGTCTTTCTAATTGTGACATCCATGTCCGTGTCCGAAAAGTTTATCCAACATAGAGAAATTATAAGACCCTCATTACAGTCAGTGTGTTCAGTGTTTTTTCTTCCCTTTGATGAGCCAACGTGGTATTACACTACACAAGAAGTGGAGGGTAACTGTGCTGGGTGGGGAGGGGTTGATGTACAGTTAGATTATTTACTACATTCAAGAATGTAGACAAGTATTTACAGATGTTAAATGGAGTATTTTTATTTTGTGTACATACTGTATGACAAGACAATGCTCTTTTTTGTTACAGCTATGCACTGTAAATGCAGCGTTCTTTAAAAAACTGCTGAAATTTTTCTTAGTCAAAAATATTCAAATGTAATTATATGAGGCAGAACATATTGTACACTAACCTATTTAGAAAGCTGAACTTATGCTTATATATATTTGATTGTAAAGAAAAGAGAAGTGTGTGCCTGTGTGTGCGTGAGTGTGTGAGCATGTGTGTGGAGCGCAAACAAATTGATGCTTTACGCACATCATCCACCCCTTTTTTTAATTAGCTAGTAACATTACCCAGAATTCAGCCAAAGTTAAGAATGTATAGGTCCCCTTTTTAAAAGTCAGATCAGCTAGATCCTTGCTTGTGTTCTTTAGATCTCCTTAAAATGTATACATTAGTGCTTTTTGATCAGTTAGGTCTCACAGTAAACCAATTAACAAGAATGCCAGTATTTCAAGAATACTGGTCTGTTTCTTCCACCAACATGGTCAAAGCAGACTAACTTTGAACCAATATTATATATATATATCCCCCAGTTCATGGGGAATGTATTATTACTACAGTAATCAAGATTGTGCTGTGTAGACCTTTCCCATAAATTCTTGTATTGTATATGATAGTGAAGTCCTGTAAATTTCAGTTGGATGTCCTAAATAGCACATAAAATCTGAAATTTCTAGTCACTTGGCGAAAGATTGATGGAGTATTGGGAGTTTCTGTCAAGCACACAAGGCCTATTTATAAGCAAAGTTTACTTAAACTTGGATACAGTTTGCTAATGAGAGATTATCCTTACAGACAGATTATTGTAGGATTATCATGACTTCTAGGAACACTAGTGACCTGGCTAGAGAAGGTGAAATTACTGGTAAACAGAGAGAGTTTGTGGAAAACCACTTCTAGCAATTTACAGGACCAATCACAAGATGGTTAGAAAAGATTGTTTTGCTGATGAAATACATGTTCACATGATGCCCTGATCTTTGTGACCAGAAACTATAGCATAGGAGCCATTAGAGACATCAGCAGCCCTGCCTTTCAGAGAAATACATAAATGAGGGGACAAGGGCTAAACTCCATAATCTGCAAAAGACGTACAGCTAGTAATTTCATTTGCCAGTAAAAAAAAAAAAGGGTAAAATGGCAGATGGGGGTAAAGCATGTCCCCGAGAAGTGAGCAACAGTTAAGAACTCACATTCCCAGGTCTTTGTCTGCACTAGGAATTATTCATTTCAGAGGACAAGCTAAAGCATGTACCTAAATCTCTCATTTGAAATTTGGTGGAGTTTAAGACCACAAAGCTGTGCAAACCAATTCTGATGTAACTCCTATTTAACTCAATGAGGCTTACTTTTGAAGTAAATATATGCAGAAACTGCATTGTGAAAACGCTTAACTTTGGCTGGATCCCTTTGTCAGAACTTTAGTGACCTAGGCATTAATTTTCTTTTCAATATTTTTTCCATGCTTTTCTTTTTTGCATCTCTTTCTTTAGTGGTTTTATATGCACAATGTTTGTTAAAGGGGAGGGGGAGAGCATTTTCTCATTTAAAAGTTTTTCTAGCAATATCATAATTTTATGTACAGCTTCTTAAGTGGGTAATCATTAAGAAGTGTTTTTATTTTATGTACTTGATAGTTTTCAATCTAGAAGTCACAAACCTTTTTAAAAATGATACTTTGTTTTAATTATTGTGACTTTAATTTGATAAAGAAAAATTGCTGTGGTACAGAGCACAGTTATAGTTTTTACAATAATTCTGTGTGTCTGAACGCTGTTCTTGAAGCCAGTAATCTTTTCATTGGCAGAGTTCAATGATTATCTATGATTTTTTTAAAAATGTACACATCCTGTATGAACACTAATTCTTCATTCCTTTGTTTACTTAAAGATACATATTTATCGGTTGTGATTAACCTATTTATTATAAATTATGAGGTGACTAAAATAATAAAAAGGCCAGTGGAAATTTTATACTTAGGATGCACACCGGTTGTCAGGTTGCTACATGTATTTTCATTTAGGGGGGAATAGCCTTTCCCCCGCTAGAAGAAGTAGCTCTTTCCTCCCTCTTCTTATTATTTAACTATGCACTATTATGGCCTTAGAGGTGCCCATGACATCATGGGAGCCTTCAGATTGTATCAGATATCATAGGATCCCTTTGAAAGTGTAAGGACTGGCACAGGGTAAGCCATTCATATGGATTAACCCATGTCAGCCATATGACCGATGTCTTGTCCATTACCACAATTCCTGTCCCTTACTCTGTTGGAGCTCTGTTCAGGCACCCATTGCAAGATTGTTGTTTCTGCTAAGCTTCCCCATAAGGGCATTTGCTCCTTGTTTACAGAGTCATGAGCAATTTCCCAGAGCGCTTATAGCTTTAAGAATGTATACAAATCCTCCCAGCTTGCCAAAACCAAATTACTTCTTGAGTGTCAAAGCACGCATGAGAAAATCTACATCAAGGATCCCACAGAGGTTCAGTGGACCCCCCCCCCCCACCTCTCCCTGCCCACAAAATGGCATAAGAGGCTTTTACGTTGAAGGTACATCTGCCTAGAGCCCCCATCAGGACCCTTCACTTATCTCATGGGTGAGGGTCTTCACCTAGTGAAGATACAGTATTCAGTGGAGATATGGTCTTCCCATTCATCTGAACAGCTCATTGTGCTTTTTCTCCACTTGCATATAGGTAGGCAAAGTGAGGAACAGGGTTTACTGGAGCTTTACTGGAGGTCCTCTGCCTATGGGTGCTGCATCCAGAGTGGACTCCATTATGTCCAATTGAAAATGTGATGTCAGTATTGATCATGGGAAAAACATCACCAAAGCAGTGTACAGGTTGTTAGTTGCAGATGGTACATAATTGTGGGTGTTTTGTACAAAATGTTTAGTACTCTTGTGTATGAAAATGAGGAGGAACCCAAACTCGTTCCTGCTCACATGCGCACTGAAGTGAAATGCGACTTCCTGGAGCAGCACATTTCTTTTTGAACTTGGCAATACATACTGTACCTGAGTACAAAAATAAATTCATATATTTTGTACTAAACTGGCCCCTCATTAAAAATCCTTGGATGTGGAAACAAAGTTGTTGTTTTCCAGTTATGCCCACTTTCAAGTGCACAGACAGCATGTTAAAGCCATTTCATTGAATATGAACTGGAACCATGTGGGTGGGACCTATGAATGGGTGTTTCCCTTTCAGTTGTCACCCAAGTAGGAAAATAATGTAAGAGAAACACAGGAATATTTGATCAACATCCATTTAATTTTTCCTTCTGGGGCTTAGACACATAGAACGAGAGAGGGAACAGTTTGTATTTGTTTTATGTCCCTAGCATCAGACTAGAGAAAGGGTGAGCACTCAGACAAGAACGTGCAGTGTGACTGTTAAGCTCAAAAGTATAGCTCCATTCTGAGTCAGATCAAGAGTTTGAAAAGTTAACTTGTACAAAGTAATTGTGAAAAAGTAATAGTTCTAAGCCCATCAAAAGGAGTGACTTCCACTTATTGTTCCAGTTCTTAAAAAGTAACTCTGCTGCTTTTCAAAAGTAACTTGCACAAATGTTTTTTTACTTTTAAAACATGGTCCAAATGCTATATGCTGCCGCTCTTGCCTCATCCACCTTGTAACCTCTCAACTTAGCCTCCCAAGAGGCTAAGAAATAGTTGCAGAAGGCACAGGAGAAGTCAGCACCTCAACCATGTGACATTCCTCTTACAACATTTAGAAAGCCATACTCCTATACCTGTAACAGTTCAATATCACAAAGGGAGTGGAATTTTCCCTTGTTGAGGGTGCCTTCATAATATAACCATGGCAGCTCCGTTGTTTTCCTTCCTTTTTCGCCCTTCCCCAATATAAAAGCCAGATTGCCTGGGAGAAAGCTAATAGGCAGCAGAGGACAGAACAAATAATGCTATGTGCATCACTTCCCAATAATGATCCTGAGGTAGAACTATGAATTGGAATTTGAATTTTCAGTTTATGAGAGACTTTGCAAGGCTTTACATTCCCTAAAGTAAGGTGCTTTTTCTCAGGAGGAAGACTACTTGCAGCAGGGAATGGAGGAAATGGAAAGGCTTGTGCAAATGGGAGACTATATCATCTAGGCTGAATCACCAGATATACTCATGCATAGTAGACCTCATTTATAATTGAGAGCAGGTTTTGGGGCCAAAGTTATGAATAACTTGAGGGTCATTTAGCAGCAAGGGAAAAGCAATGGGGAGCCACCCACCCCTGCCACTTCTCCGCCCAGGAATTTAAAAAGGAAAGAAGCAGTACCAATATGGAAAAAGTAGAAGGGAATAATGCTTCTTTTAGGTTGTCCTAGGATGGACTAAGCTCTTGCTTTTTGCCACTCTACTCAGAGAAGGAGATCGTTCCTTTTTTAAATAAGAGTTAAGATACAGTACTCACATTAAACACAAATAAGTCAACCCTTTTTTGGGATTGATTTATTTTACTATAATTTCTAGACTCCCATGGGCATATAGCGGGGTGAAGAGTGTTGGATAGAATCCCAGTCAATGAGGAGTTAATCTCTCTAGAAAACAATTTTCCAAAATTCAGAGATACTCTCACTCTGCACATGGGCATACTGTCAGTTATGTACTGGGCCCAGCAGTCCAAAGCAGGGCCACAAAATGGGGAGGAAATTATGAAGGGTTCACCTATGTGGTTCCTTTAGCTCCCACACAGTTGTTTTCAATGGGGTAATATAAGTGGAGTGCACTTATTGGTGTTTGGCATTCATTACTTTGTTTAACGATACATCATACCTACCTATTTAATTCTCTCCTCCCAATGTGTAGGAAAACCAATTCTGTCCCATGATCTGTGCGGCTGAGTCTGACAGCTGCTCTCATTTTATCACCAGCATATTGTGTTCCAGTAGACTCCACTGTGTCCTTTCCTGCGCTCGCTCTTTTTTGTCTTTGTATTTCTGAGTAGGTAGATAGCAATAAAAAGAGAACTTTTTCCAAAGTTCTGTTTTGCATACTGTAGCACCCTTTCAATCTGAGTAATTCTTGCCATTCATTGCTTTGTAGATTGAAGATACAGGTATTTTAACTTTTGATCGTGTGAATGCCAAACTAAACGTTTACAGCTTTTTCTTTCTGGATTTTGAGTGTCTTCTACTGTAAAGAAAAGAAATTAAAGCAATAAATTATTTTTTAAGAAATCAATATTTAGTATATCATGTGTTCAAGAATGAGGTGCATTTCTGGTGTTTGTATTTTTGTCATTTGTCTGATATAACAAAAAATATGTGTGGGTTCCCAATACCATCTCCACCTCACTACCCTGATCCAAACAGCTTCTGTCTCAGAGGCAGGTCTCATTTTGATTGTATTTTTCATTAGCTGGCCTGGCAAATATTATATTCCTGGAGATGGTTCGTTCTTTGCAGATATCAATGAACCAATAGAATTAAAATAATTGTAATTGTCAGAAAGGAAAGTCTTGTTTTCCTCCTGCCCCAATCTCAATAAGATCTGTATGTGGAAAATGACTTTCTTTCTATGCAGAAATCGCTTGCTGAACTGGGAATGGAAAATCTATATGCAATACACATTTCAGAGCACATTTCCTCTCACTGTACTGGAAACACAAACCTGTCCACCTTTCTGGTTTATCTAGTACAAAAGCACAAGTACAACAGACTACAACTAGATTCAGATATACATCTTTGGAGAAAGTCTGTGGGCGCTATATCAAAATGAACTGTCAAATGCTTCTATTTTTCAGAAAGACATTTAATATTAGCACATATCCCATGTCGTCAAATTGTAGCATAGATCTGTATGTCTTTTAGATGAAGATGTTTTACCTCTGCTTCCATGCTGTGGTAAGTACTGTTTCTGGGAAGAGAACCTGTACTTAGAAACAACAGTTCTTTCATGCAGTGTAACAAAGTAATTCCTGTGTAAAATGGAGGAGAAAACATGCTCCGAATCCATACAAGAAGAGCCCACAATTGGGGAAGAAAAACAGCAATTGGTCCCAAGTGGTTCCAAACCACTGATGGCCTGCCAGCATCGATAGTGGCAAAGAAGAGGTGGTTTGTTCAATTGGTCATCAGTTGGGTCAGTCTTGAAAAGAATAAAACCTTCATATCCCTTTAGATGTGAGCTTCCAGCAGGCAATGATTACAGGTCCGTTTTGTATGGCTGTAATGAGAAATAAGATCTTATCTATAAATGACCTGGAATGGCTGTGAAATTTGACGATTCTAAATTTGTTCCTTATGTGATAGACATTTTCAATAATTTGAAACTACCGATCTGGTGCAACTACTGTAAAATGTGTACAGTAGGAAGCAAGCTGTAATAGCTGTGCTGAACAAAAGGGAGATGAGCTATTAGGATAGCCCTATTTGGATTTCCACTCCATCTCTACGTGTACATTAATTTTTGCCCTTTAAAAAAAGTATGTGGCATACATTTCTCACACAGAGTAACATTAGGGGAATCAAACATTTTAATTTCACTTGGTTTCACACTTTGCTTGCACAAAGCTATCTGATTATGTGAAGGATTTATACATTCTATGCATGCTCAAAAACCCGCCACATAGAGAACATCTGACATAAAAATCGACAGGGACTTTGCTTTCATCTCAGAGTTTTCTAGATCTTCTAGCTGAAAAGGTGCAAATAAATCCTACTCAAATAGATGACAGGCTTTAGTGTTTAGATGTTGTTTCTTTCTATCCCCAATGTCTAGCAGAATAAATAAATTTTAATTTAATTTAATAAATGTTCATACATATATAATTGATATAGGTGATAATACAGATTTTCTTGTTCAAGCATTTAAATTATCTTGACAAAAAGCATTGTGTATTTTTTTTTCCACAGATGAAATACAGCCACAGCTTCTGCTGTTTGTTTCTGTCACTATTTACAGCCAAAAGATCTTCTTTCCCTGAATCTGAAGGGCAGATAAATGAGTAAGATATTGTATTTTAGGGAAGCTAATGCTCTAATCGAGGAGTGATGGAAGATTGTGCAGTGTTTAGTCATAAAATGCTACAGAATATTTCATCTCCCAAGAAAATATCTCTTGTGTTTTTACAACTTCTTTTGTCAAAGATTTGTTAGGAGCTGTAAAATAATTGAAATGGGTGGCCAGGGGCACAGGGAATTATAAGATGATTAGTTTATAGTCTCTTCTGAATTAATTGGTGGAAAGTACTATTAAAGATAATTTTATCATGTACGTAGCAGTATTTGAATCAACAGAGTTTCTGTACAGGTATTTCTCATCTCACTAATTGAGTTTTAGAACCAACATGCAGATAGGCATGGTCTGATATTCACAGTTTAGGATGTTGTTGTTGTTCATTCGTTCAGTCGTTTCCGACTTTGTGAACTCATGGACCAGCGCATGCCAGAGCTCCCTGTCAGCCGTCACCACCCCCAGCTCCTTCAAGGTCAATCCAGTCACTTCAAGGATCCCATCCATCCATCCATCTTGCCCTTGGTTGGCCCCTCTTCCCTTTTCCTTCCATTTTCCCCAGCATCATTGTCTTCTCTAAGCTTTCCTGTCTCCTCATGATATGGCCAAAGTACTTCAACTTTGTCTCTAATACCCTTCCTTCCAATGAGCAATCAGGCTTTATTTCCAGAAGTATGGACTGGTTGGATCTTCTCACAGTCCAAGGCACTCTCAGAACTTTCCTCCAACACCACAGTTCAAAAGCCTCTATCTTCCCTCGCTCAGCCTTCCCTATGGTCCAGCTCTCACATCCGTAGGTGACTACGGGGAATACCATTGCTTTAACTATGCGGATCTTTGTTGCCAGTGTGATGTCTCTACTCTTCACTATTTTATTGAGATTGGACATTGCTCTCCTCCCAAGAAGTAAGTGTCTCCTGATTTCCCGGCTGCAGTCTGCATTTCCAGTAATCTTTGCACCTAGAAATACAAAGTCTGTCACAGTTTAGGATAGAATTAATGAATTTTACAGCACTTTTACTGCCATAGCACAATGCTATGAAATCTGGGAGTTGTCGTTTTTCAAACTCTTTAGCCTTTTGTACTAAAGAGTGCTAGTGCTTCACCAAACTTTCTTACGTTGAGCCATGGCATGTAAAGTGGTGTCAAAATGCATAAAATCTACAGTGGAAATCAAGGGTCCTCAAACTTTCTCAACAGAGCCAGTTTACAATCACTCCAATGGTGGGGTCTGGACTATTTTTTTTAAAAAAAGTGAACAAATTTATTTGCACACTGCACATATCTTATTTGTAGTGCAAAACAAAACCCACATGAAAAACCACTACAATATTTGAAATGTAGAACAATTTTAACCAACATAAACTTACCAGTATTTTAATGGGAGTCAAGTTATTTAGTATTGTTGTTGTGTGCCTTCAGGTTGTTTCAGACTAGGGGTGAGCCTAAGTCTAAAGTTTAGAATGGGAAGGGATAAATGACTTTGGAGGGTTGCATCCAACCTGCAGGCCTTAGTTTGGGGACCCCTGCTGTAAATGTGCCCAAGACTCCTGGATATAGACATTAAGCTTGGTTGATCAAAAAAATGGTTCAAAACTCATTTCGGATGTAGTGGTTCAATTCTAAAGTCACTTTTGAATTTTGAAAAAAAATTCAAAACTTTCCAAAACTTCCAAATTGCTTCGTTAATGGCAAACACACATGAGCAGTAGGAAAAAAAAACAGCACTGGCACTGGGGAAATTTCAGGGGATTCTCCCTTCCTCATTTTTATGTTTCAGCAGAAATTTTATTCAGAACTAAAGATATGTACATTGTGAAATGCAGTTCAGGTAAGCACTGCATGAATAAACAAATCTTCTAGGCACCACTTCAAGGCTTCATCCAAAGACATTTTTTTCCTTTCACCAACCTCCACTTTTCTAATAATTTGCATTTTGATGGTGAAACATACAGATTTATGTTTTTTTTTTCAATCAGTTTTATTAAGTTTTCCATATGCTTAAAAAAGAAAGATTTACAAGGAAAATGGGGGAACATTTGGTTATAGGATAGTAGGAAATTTTAGAAATCGATATAAAAAGAGAAAGAGCAACCCCCCCCCCCAAAAAAAGACCAAAAAAAGAACACCAAAAATATTTTAGACAATCCTGATGAAACTTGCTACAGTGGTAGAACACATGGACCACTGTTAGCTCACCAAATTTCATAACTTTTGACTTATCCATGGATTTTTGGCAAATTTTAAATGCATGAGATATGTAGTTTCCCAAAGTACCTTAGCAAGCCAGACTCCCTGGCACATCAATCCTAGGGGACTCTAAAGGGAGGGATAAAGGAAGGAATGTCTTCAAGTTTTGGGAGAATTGGGGCTGGAACAGAAGAACTGGGTTCCCGCTGGAAAGTGAATAAGTATAAGTTCCGAATCACTATTGCCACAGAGGGGTTGGTGGCTCCCTGAGAAAGCACACTGCCCCAGAACCAGGAGGTCATGAGTTCAATCCCTGCCAGTTTTTATAAAAAACATTTTTAATAATAAAGAAAATCTGTTCCTGGTTTGAAAGTGTTATTTCCTTTTTCATCGGGTGGTCATTACTTTTAAAGTAGTTGTTCTACTCCAGAAACTTCGTTTGTGCTGCACAAACTGTTAAATTAGTGGAGAACAGAAATCATATACAGAGAGATCCCATCAAGGGACATCTAGAGTGAATAAGTATAACTTCCGAAATGCTATTGCCACAGAGTGGTCACTGGCTCCCTGAGAGAGTGCACCGCCCCAGAACCGGGAGGTCATGAGTTCGATCCAGGGAAAAATGGCAAAAAGGAAAAATCATGGCAAATGGTGGCAAATAATGACAAACAAGGCATGGGAAGCCAAGGTTCACGTTTTGCCAAAAATGAAGATGTGGGATGTCATGGAAGCTCCCCTTTTGTGGTGGACACATATCTTTATTGCAGGGATGACAGAAAAAGAAAGGGTTAGGGTTGCTTATTGCTTTGCTGCCTTCTCTTTAGACAGCTTTGTAGATTCAATCAGTTTATTTTATATTTAGACGAAGACTGTTACAGACATGACAGCTATTGAGCTATAGGGGTCCTTCAGCCATTTTGGCTAATGAGCAGCAAGGCAGTGTGGGAAATGTAGTTTAACAGCAGGGCCTTTTGCAATCTCTACCATTGGGGGCCTGGCCTTCACAAACTACAACAATGGCTGTGCTTAGCCACACC